TGTTCTACTTCGTTTTCTCTCTGTAATTTCAGCGTTCTTTCCTCTTTTTTCACCCTTGTAAATTTTGATAAATCTAACTCATAAATGTCTCATAAATTTACCTCATAGGGACAATAAAGATGGAATGACTTTAATATGAAGTGACTACGCAAAATGAAAACAAAAAAAAGATGAAGAAAGGAGGAAAACAGATCCATAAAAATCTGACATGTTGCTCCAAAATACTGAAATCAATCAAGTTTCAAAAGCTGCAAAAAGACATACAGATGCACAAACACACACACACACATCTTGTCCACATTAAGACAGTAACCCCTCGTCCCCATTTGCAGGAAGTGAGGTCAACACATAAACAGTGAGTGTGTGTTTTGATGTATGTCCCCCCCTCCCCCTCCTCGGTGTCTCGTTTCTCTGGGAGATTAGGTTTCAGCCATCACTGAGGCCTGCTAATTAATGTCACAACCTGCTCGCCGTGTCAGCACCAATTTACTACACATACACTCTCTATCTAAAGACTATATACACCTTTGCACACACACACAAACACACACACACAAGGTGGCTCACAAACACAAGAACAGCAGACACACACACATATGCACACGCACTTCCTCTCCTTACCTGTCACAATTAATGTCATACTTTCGCTGCTGACATTTGGGGTTTTTTCTCCTCTTCCTCTCTCCGTGTCACTCTATCCACACAGTTCTCTCCCTCACCGCCAGCATCTCATCATCTTTCTGGCTGCACTTTCTCCGGTCCTGTCCTTTTTCACCTCGCTGTCATGACCAATTCTCCACCTCTTTCTTTCCCTCCCCAGTCCAAGGTCCCTTCCCCTCTTATCTCACCTTGTCAGCACCCTTCCTCTCTTTGGTCCCGTTAGACCTCTCCTTTCTTCGTGCGTCTTTCTTTGCATCCTGCTGAAAATAATGGGCTCCGTCTCCCTAATGTTTGTCTTTTCTTCATCATCACATCTGTTTACTTACATTGTGTCATCACCATCTCTTGTTGAGCAACTCTTGAGAGGGATACAGTAGCTTACACCAGATCTGGGACCTAAAAGGGAGTCCTGCAGACTTGATTCATCAGGTTTTTCTTGTCGCTTAATTTACAACAACTGTCATAATATCTTTGACATTTCTGGAGAAGCTTTGTGAACTTGGCTCTAGTCTGAAGTTTGAAACGTCAGTGTGTTTACCAGTCAGTGAGGATTTAATGAAAGCCCCTTTCTGGTTGCACTGTGGGAAAAGTTGGACCTTTTGTAAATGATTGAGCAAGGGACAACTTTTAAGACTGAGAAATTAAGCCAAGACAGTGCCAAAAGACTGCAGTTCCGAAAATGGCCACTGGAGGCAGAGTCCAAAAAGAGCAAAAATAAACATGTTTAAAACTTGGTATTCAAAAGTTTTTTACTTTCCACTTACTAAGGTCCCTTCCCATGACAGGTATGCATGTGGTGTTTTTTTTTTTACAATGTAATTCAAAATAAATTCAAGTATATTTAAGTTACAGTATGTAAACTCTCACCACTAGATGTCAGTAAATTTGTTACGGCCGAGACCGTTTCAGACGAGTGACAGGACTCAAACGCAAGACGCCGAACAGCACATAAGTATATCTTAAGAATAATGTTTAATGTATACACAAAATATTCATAAACAAAAGGTGAGTGTAGACGTTAAACTAAATAACGATCTGGTCCGGGTCAGAGAGGACAGCTATTCCGAGGATTGGACTGGAAAGCAAGTCACAAAGGGTCCAGGAAAAGGTCGGGGTCACTGTAACAGAATGAAAATGTTCAAACATAGATAAGGAGGCATATGAATATGTTGTTTGGCTCAAAATCCTCCTTCGTACTGCGTACTTGCCAACGGAGGTCGGAGGTGGCATAGAGGAGGAGTAGTCCGGGTGTGTAAATCCAAAAGGTCCTGACGTGGAGGCAGAGAGGCAGGGAGGGAGTTTTGGTAATAGCCTGAGGGACTGCCAGAAGGTCCAGCATCCAAGTAGAAGCTCTTCGCCAGGGGTTAACAGTTAGGTGTAGCTAAAAAGGGAGGCGCACAAAAAACAAACATACAGTGAGGTAAGGTGATTCAAAACAAACACGTAAGGAAATTATGGTGGTGGCCTGCACTGACTGATGTTTAGCAGAGAATCTGGCGAAGAGAGATTGAGAACGCTGGCCTTATGAGTCCCCCGGCTAATTACCCACAGATGTCAGCGATCAGCAAAAACACTGAAGCCCCTCCCAGGGGTGGAGACGCCGGCTCGGAGGGAAACACACTGGCACACACCCGGACCATGACAAAATTGCAGTCAGATGAATTTTGTTTTCCTACCGCTTCCAATTCAAGTGCATAATCCTAGCTAACGGTCCGCTGCTGTAAGACAAACAACTCTGTTTTATCTGTAGTGAATTTAGACTATCAATATGCATCCATGTATGTTTACTCAAGAGGAGGCTGTAAAACTTTGGGAATGAGTAGATGGGTCAGTGACACTTCTGTCTAAAAACAGCTATTCTGAGAGGAGTTGCTGAGGGTATTCTGAAATTTTCTGTCAGTAAGTTTTTGCTGCTGTGAAACTTTCTTTGAAGTGGATCTCACATCGTTGGACTCTGTAGACACTATAAATAATTATCTTATATCATCTGAGAATCTAATGAAACAGTTTATCAGAGAAAGTCTAACGCTATCTGGCATAATGAATCTGCTATTAATTGTGAAAAACAAAGGTAATTGTGATAATATTGAGAATAAATAAGCATGTTTTTGCATGTTTTGTGTGCCAGACCCTTGACTTCAGTTCTGGAGGCTTGAGGAAGAGGTTGGCATTTTATCCAGATGCCGGTCAAGGTGTCCCATTCCTTCGCATTTCCTCTTCTTTGGTAAAAGCGACCACCTTCGAGGTGAGAAAACATAGGCATGATCTTTTATCTATTGAGTGTGCAAGTACAAACATAAACATTTGCGTTCTGTAGGCAAACGCATACGAGTTTTCTTCCCCTCTGCTGTACTACGTATGTGGCCGGTCTCTAGCCACATACATAAAACATAAAACATTAGGCAGAAGAGCAATTTACATCTCAGCCGCTGTATTCAAGATGGCAGGGCATCATGGCGACATTTGTAAACCTGTTTGTATGATTTTTAATGAATTATTTCAAAGTTTATGTGAATGCATCACTTTCTTGGAAGACTTAATTACACAATTAGCTTCTAGCTTGCTTACTTGCCACAAGTGCACTGTGCCACCTACCAATAGAAAGGAAAAAATAATGTGCATATTTCCACGAGAGAAATCCCACGCCGTCATTGACCGCTGCCATGATTCTAGCCCGCGTCACAGCGTCATGTGCGCTTTTTACATCCAACACAAAAACTGCAGTCGTGGTGCTTTCGATTGTACTCAGAACTCGGAAATTCTGCCTTCTGAATAGGAAGATGTAGGTAACACCAGACTGCAGATGAGCTGCATACAGGGCTGGACTGGGACAGAAAATTGGCCCGGGCATTTTGACTAGAGACCGGCCCCATTATAGGAAAAATCATAAAGCCTTTGAATGAAAATAAACACTGTTGTGACAGTGATGTACACTGTTCTGATGGTATATATGCATCAATCTATCAATCGTTTGTTGTAAGATTCAGATAATTATTTTTTAAAAGCTAGACATTTTAAATGAGAATAAGAAAGAAAAGTATTTCTTTGTGCCCCCCTTTCCCTGTTAATGCCCTACCTGGCCCCCTGGCAAAACTTTGCTAGACCCGCCCCTGCACAGTTACCAGCTGTCAGCTACCTAAAAAAGGATCCTGGTGTTATTTGTCTCTCAGAAACAGTTCATACAGTGGGGCAAAAAAGTATTTAGTCAGCCACCGATTGTGCAAGTTCCCCCACCTAAAATGATGACAGAGGTCAGTAATTTGCACCAGAGGTACACTTCAACTGTGAGAGACAGAATGTGAAAAAAAAATCCATGAATCCACATGGTAGGATTTGTAAAGAATTTATTCGTAAATCAGGGTGGAAAATAAGTATTTGGTCAATAACAAAAATACAACTCAATACTTTGTAACATAACCTTTGTTGGCAATAACAGAGGTCAAACGTTTACTATAGGTCTTTACCAGGTTTGCACACACAGTAGCTGGTATTTTGGCCCATTCCTCCATGCAGATCTTCTCGAGAGCAGTGATGTTTTGGGGCTGTCGCCGAGCAACACGGACTTTCAACTCCCGCCACAGATTTTCTATGGGGTTGAGGTCTGGAGACTGGCTAGGCCACTCCAGGACTTTCAAATGCTTCTTACGGAGCCACTCCTTTGTTGCCCGGGCGGTGTGTTTTGGATCATTGTCATGTTGGAAGACCCAGCCTCGTTTCATCTTCAAAGTTCTCACTGATGGAAGGAGGTTTTGGCTCAAAATCTCACGATACATGGCCCCATTCATTCTGTCCTTAACACGGATCAGTCGTCCTGTCCCCTTGGCAGAAAAACAGCCCCATAGCATGATGTTTCCACCCCCATGCTTCACAGTAGGTATGGTGTTCTTGGGATGCAACTCAGTATTCTTCTTCCTCCAAACACGACGAGTTGAGTTTATACCAAAAAGTTCTACTTTGGTTTCATCTGACCACATGACATTCTCCCAATCCTCTGCTGTATCATCCATGTGCTCTCTGGCAAACTTCAGACGGGCCTGGACATGCACTGGCTTCAGCAGCGGAACACGTCTGGCACTGCGGGATTTGATTCCCTGCCGTTGTAGTGTGTTACTGATGGTGACCTTTGTTACTTTGGTCCCAGCTCTCTGCAGGTCATTCACCAGGTCCCCCCGTGTGGTTCTGGGATCTTTGCTCACCGTTCTCATGATCATTTTGACCCCACGGGATGAGATCTTGCGTGGAGCCCCAGATCGAGGGAGATTATCAGTGGTCTTGTATGTCTTCCATTTTCTGATGATTGCTCCCACAGTTGATTTTTTCACACCAAGCTGCTTGCCTATTGTAGATTCACTCTTCCCAGTCTGGTGCAGGTCTACAATACTTTTCCTGGTGTCCTTCGAAAGCTCTTTGGTCTTGGCCATGGCGGAGTTTGGAGTCTGACTGTTTGAGGCTGTGGACAGGTGTCTTTTATACAGATGATGAGTTCAAACAGGTGCCATTCATACAGGTAACGAGTGGGGGACAGAAAAGCTTCTTACAGAAGACGTTACAGGTCTGTGAGAGCCAGAGATTTTCCTTGTTTGAGGTGACCAAATACTTATTTTCCACCCTGATTTACGAATAAATTCTTTACAAATCCTACCATGTGAATTCATGGATTTTTTTTTTCACATTCTGTCTCTCACAGTTGAAGTGTACCTCTGGTGCAAATTACTGACCTCTGTCATCATTTTAAGTGGGGGAACTTGCACAATCGGTGGCTGACTAAATACTTTTTTGCCCCACTGTAACTTCCCTTCAACTCATTCATGTCACCTAAAAGGTAAACCTGTTTCTCCATCACCTGTTCAGCTCTGATGATTCAGTAAGGACATCTCCTGGTTTCATCTTCATGTTTCCCTCTCACCAGATAACCAAACCAATATCATGACCAGCAGCTTTACAGCTGTGGCTCCAGCAAACATCAGCTGATACTAGAAATTAATATTAAATAAATTCTAACAACAGCTGATCAAGCTTAAACGTGCTGCTGTTGTTTAGCGCGACATCCCTGGTTTCCTCTTTCTGGCGCAAAGTGGGCGATAAACAAACAAGAGAGAAAAGCCGATCAGCTGATCATTCATCAGTTTCATGATTAAAGTAGCTACAGGAGAGGGAGGGGGAGAATGAGAGAAGAAGAGGCAGCTGTGCAGCTCCAGCTTTGTGTCTTTTTCATTGTAGCTGAAGTCCGGGACAAACTGTGTGTCACCTCAATACGAAACGTGTAATATTTTCTCTGAATACGAGACGATTCAGTTTTTTACGGGACGGTTGGCAACTCTACCCAGATAGACTGCAGGTCATAACTTCTTACCTGAAGTTCAGTTCACACTCGGACCGGCGGCCGCCTCGGGTCTCTCCTCCTCCTGCCTCCCCTTTCCCTCATCCACCTGCTGGCTTCCACCACTTGCTAATGTTACTGAGTCTGTGGAAGCTCCGCGATAGCCACCACACGAAGTAACGACTCTATCTAAATTCCAGTAACGACTAACACATTCCTGATTTTGGCATAATAACTAGTTACCGTGCTCGTCACCACAATAATAACGTAGTTACTGTAAAGCGTTACTTAATAACGCGTTAGTCCCAACACTGATAATGAGTGAGAAGGGGTTCCTTTTATCAGAGTTAGGTGTAATTAAAAAGAAACTTGTTAGCTGTTTTATTTCACCACACCACAATGTGTTTTTAAGTGCCTAAACTAAGCTACAACTGCAGTCAGATGAGACTTTCAAAGGTCTACCCTTCGTCCACATGCTCATACAAAATGACAAGATGGTGACAAAGAAGTGATATTCCCAAATGAGTGACCCACCACACATGCTTGACCCTTACAAAGAACATTAGTCGAGTCTTCATCCAAAAATGTTTCACATTTGAACAAAGTATTCATTTAAAACCAAAGAGGAAAATGAAAGCACGTTACATCCACTACAGGTGTGCAAGTAACAGAAGTTGGTTGCATCGAGATGGTGCTGGTTTTCTACTTAGAGTCCATTAAACCTAGCGTGAGAAGAAAGTGCAATGAGGCAGTTATTAACACTTTCATCCTAGAGATTGGAGTGCTGGGACCAATCTTCTGCCATTATTTCGAAGCTTGCTGAGCATGGAACTTGTGGTGCAACAGATAAATAGCTAGATAGGCTTGCCTGTGTGCTGTGTTCTCCCTGTGCCTGTGTTGGTGCTGTGAAATGGTTCTCTGGCTTCTTCCCACAGTCCAAAAACACGCATGTTAGATTAATTGAAGATTGTAAATTAGCTGTAGGTGTGGATGTCAGTGTGAAAGGTTGTCTGCCACTCTGTGTTAGCCTTATGATAGAGTAGCAGGGTGTACCCCGCCTCTCACCCTGTGGCAGCTGGGACAGGCTCCAGCCCCCCCAGCTGTCACCTGATAAGGGGTTAGGAAAATGAATCCATGTATGGATGGGCAGCTAAACAAGACATAATATATACATATGCAAAACGCAATATTGTATTTTCAGCACAGCCGTGTAATGAAAATGTGAAACAATAAGAATGAGTCAAAATGCATCTCCAAATAATAAAATAAATTGTAAGTGTGCATGTATTTGCAGACAGTGTCTTTTTATTTAACTTTTTTGTAAACGTCATGATACTGAATTCACAGAACATTTGAATTTAAGTGTGTTTACTTCATTTTAGACAGAAACTGTACATATTTCTAGGATGAAGAGCGTGCAGCTTTCCAACATGGTCCTATTTCGATGCGACCTCGTGTTTAACCACACCATTCCCTCCTTCTTCTAGCGATCAATAACTCTTCATTCGTCCAGCCACTCAGAAAACCTCGCTCAACCTCTGATTTTCCTGCAGCTTTCTTTTTTTCCCCAGTCAGTCAGTATGTAAGTATGTTAATGTGTGTATGCGTCAGTGTGTGCACCTCTGTCATTAACCCTAATGATTGACAATGTCCTCCCCACTTCCTCCTCCTCTTCCTTCCTTTATTGACCCTCCTGTCAGCGACCTGTCACTGGGAGTTCCTCTTGTCATCAATAGCAAGACTTTATCTAGATGGACAGTCACTCCCCCCTCTCATGTACCTTATGGCTTATCTGGGATACTGTAGCTGGCAGGGAGGTGAAGCGTATGTGTGTTTGTATATTTCTCTCTTTAAAAGGGCAAAGCATCCTCGTAGGGTAGAAAGGTGAGAAAGATTAGTTTTGCTCCTCACTTCAAG